GATACATCAAAGAGATTTAACCACGCCCACAAAAAATATTACTGTCTGCTAGGATTCTAATTTAGATCAAGTAAAGTTCACGCACGGAAAAAGTGTGCTTCATAACACCCCCCCCCTGTTGAAACTGATGATAACGCATCGGCCAGCCCAAATTATTTTCCTAACATTGCTCGAAGATTAGAAAGAGATGGGGTGCCTCTCGGTGTGAAAAAAGGTGTTTCACAACACCCCCCCCCCCCCCTCTTAAAAGGAAAAAAAAATCATTTTTCAAAAATGGAATTATTTTTTCCATTAAAAATTGAATAAAGTATATTTCTTCCTTTCAAAATATTAGACAAAAAGCTTCTTAACAGCTTATAAACAATAACATAAGTTATATGTACAGTGAAAATTAATTTCTGGGCAAAGTATCTGCAATGACATTATCTTTGCCTTTAATATGTTTGATGTCCAAATTATATTCTTGTAAAAATAGGCTCCATCTTAACAATATTTGATTTTTGGAGACCATCTTATTCAAAAATGTTAAAGGATTGTGATCAGTAAAAACAAGTACTGAATTTAACGAATTTAACGACATAAAAATAAAATTGTTGGAGTGCAATAGTTAAACCTAAACATTCTTTTTCTACTGTGGAATAGTCTTTCTGATGTGAGTTGAATTTCTTTGAGTATCAGAGACAGGTTGATCTACATTGTGGTCATCTTCTTGAAAAAGAACTGCATCAATGCCAACATCACTGGCATCTACATCTAATTTAAACTGTTTGTTAAAGTCTGGTGCAATGAGAACAGGAGCATTAGCAAGTATATTTTTAATGTTTTCGAATGCTTTCTGACAAGCATCTGACCAATGAAATTTTGCATTTTTCTTTAACATATTAATTAAAGGAGAAGCAATAACTGAGAAATTTTTGCGAAATTTTCTACAGTAACCTGCCATTCCCAAAAATCTCATTAACTGTTTTCTAATAGTGGGTGGTGGAAGTAATACAATAGCATTTATCTTGGCTTGAACAGGCTTTACATGACTTTGACCCACTATGTGACCTAAATATTCCACAGTTGCATGACAAAATTCACACTTATTTAAATTTACAGTTACATTTGCCTGCAAAATTTTTTTAAACAGAGATCTTAATTGGTTTACATGAGTTGAAAAATCTTGACTGTGAATAATTACATCATCAATATAGGCGTTGCAATTTTCCTGGTCAGCAATAATGTTATTCACTAGACGTTGGAATGTAGCTGGGGCATTTTTCATTCCAAATGGCATTACTTTATATTGGTATAAACCTTCTGGAGTACAAAAAGCAGAGATTTCTTTTGCTCTGTCAGATAGAGGAACCTGCCAATAACCTGATAGTAGGTCTAGCTTGGTTACATATTTGGCATCACCTATTCGATCTATAAGATCGTCTATCCTTGGAATCGGAAAGGAATCAGTCTTTGTAAATGCATTCACTTTCCTGAAGTCAGTACAAAACCTGTAACTTTTGTCAGGCTTTGGGACTAAAATACATGGTGAACTCCAGTTACTAGAGCTTGGTTCAATTATATCATTTTCAAGCATGAACTTTATTTCAGACCGGATTATTTCAAGTTTTTCCGGATTGACCCTATAGGGGTGTTGCTTGACCGGAACTGCATTGCCAATGTCAACATCATGTACAGCAATGTTGGTTTTATTAGGTACATCAGGGAAGAGTAAAACAAAATCTGCAATAACAGACTTAACAACATCCTTCTCTGACATCAATGTCAACATCATGTACAGCAATGTTGGTTTTATTAGGTACATCAGGGAAGAGTAAAACAAAATCTGCAATAACAGACTTAACAACATCCTTCTCTGACAATGACAAATGTCCTAGTTTCTTATCCAAGTTGGCCAGTATTTCTGAATTTTTAAGTTTGTAATTACCAACTTTTTCTGGGACACTATCAAAGGTTTCAGTAACATTTTCTTTAAGTACTGAAGCTACAGTTGAGATTGTGTTAACATTGGGTTCTGAGGATGGACAATGATCATCACATTTTCTATCAACATATTCTTTTAACATACTAATGTGACATAAGTGGTTCTTTCTTTTACGATCTGGTGTTAACACAATGTAATTTAAATCATTAATTTTGGACTCAACTACATAAGGACCAAAATATCTGGCTTGTAGTGCCTGCCCTGATATCGGCAAAAGCACTAGCACTTTGTCCCCTGAAGCAAACTGTCTGAATTTTGACTTTTTGTCGTTGCAAAATTTCATTTTAGATTGTGAATCTTTTAAATGTGATTTAGCCAAATTAACGGCATTAAAAGGTTAATTTTAAATTTTAGGACGTAGTCAAGAAGTCCTTCCGTGGGTGTCGATGACATCCACGTGTCTTTTAAAAGTTTAAGGGGATTATTATAGTTTAAAAAGGCTGAGCCATCCCGAAACTCTCACGCCAGTTTTCACCTTACCAAACTATCTGTTGAATTGGAGGAAAAAAAACAGGGTCGCTGCCCCCCCCCCATCCAACCAGTTAGTTACGCCTTTCTCGAAATTAGCAACCTGACCTCTCCTTACCTTTCCAAATACCTAAATTGAGCGACATGAAAGTGCAAGGTCAAGGTTGTGACGATGTGACATCTAAATGTTCAGTTTAACTTGTCTATGAATTCGTTGCAGTCATTCTTTTCGCATAGCCGCAGGCTGTAGATAAGCAGATAAGAATCTCTACACCAGCATCCCTCCTAGAAGGGAGGTTGCCGATATCTGTATAAACATTTGTGTCTCTAAGATTCAAAGCCGGATGTTTTATCTAACGACACCCCGAAGGAACCAAAGCTTAGTCAGGGCAGAAAGGTAAGCAGGCTTGGTGGGTCACCTGAGGCCTTGCTTGATGGGTCTCCATGGGAACCTATTTTGGTGTATAACCCCAGTGCCCTGCTTTGGTGTATAACCCCAGTGCCCTGATTTAGTGTAAAGCCCCGGTGCCCTGCTTTTTTTGTATTACCCCGTGCCCTATTTTCTTTGGTATCACCCCGGTGCCCTGTTTTTTTCTTTTCTTTTTGTAATATTACCTGCTTTGTAATGTGCCCTGCTTTGGTGTATAACCCCGACAAATACATCAGATAATGTTAGCACGGCGACTTTTGCTGTCTGTCATACCTCAACGGACGTGGCGCCGAGCCACAAAGTCCGCCATTTTTTCTGCTCATCTTCAGCTAGAGTCAGCTGCACGTCTGCCAACACGTACGATAACAATGGTGTAGAAGGGTCACGGCTGTGATTAAAAGGGGCGGGGGTGCAGTTGGAGGCTAGAATGATTTGTTGCTCTGAACAGATAATGCGATCATGATTGGTGGCATCATATGGTTGTCGTAATGTCTGGTGGCATTAGATGGTTTTCGTAATGATTGGTGGCATCAGATGGTTGTCGTAATGACTGGTGGCATCAGATGGTTGTCGTAACGTCTGGTGGCATTAGATGGTTGTCGTAATGTCTGGTGGCATCAGATGGTTGTCGTAACGTCTGGTGGCATTAGATGGTTGTCGTAATGTCTGGTGGCATCAGAAGATTTTCGTAATGATTGGTAGGGAAGAAAGTCTACGTCATTGGGATGGGCAGGAAGAAGATAACCTCCCGAAGACTTGACTGATAACGATCGTCGGTAGAAGATTGCCTGATCATTGCGGTTAACGCACGTCTGAATCCACGGCCGTGGATAAAAGTTAACTTAATAATAAAAGCTCGAAAGAAGCTCACGGAACACCGACTGGTGCGTCATGCCATTAAGACAGAATGATTGGCTGCATGCAAGTGGCCTACTTTATAGAGCGTATTGTTAGAGCGGTCACCCAAGCCGTGCAGTTCTTCGGATAGATTGAAGGCGATTATTTCATAATCCTATAATCTTATAGCATGTCCTCGACGTGTGCATCAATATAATTAGTTCATAAATGCGGCTTATTAACGCGGGCCGTGACAAAGGTGGGGGGGGGGGGGTCGGAGACGTCGAATACTTTTTAAAGATTAAAAAAACAACAACAAACAAACAACGAAAGCGAAAGCTAATCAAAAAGTTGTTTTTTTGTTGTTGTTTTAATTGAAGGATCTCAATGAAGGTAGTAAGAGTGTCGCTGGGTCTTTTTTTATTAACCTTTCTCGCCGACAACTGGCGCGAATCTATGATGCTCCGCAGTTCTGAATTTTATTAGTAAATTTATAACAACATAACACAATTGAAAAAAATTTGCAACGTGTTGGAATGTCATAGGGACGTACGCAACATTTCAAACTATGCACTCACCTCGAAAATGAGACGTTCATACTGCTCAAATAGCGCCACGCCCCCTTTTTTTAAAGAAACTATTGGGGGGGGGGTATTTTAATACATCATTTATTGATTAGTAAATACTTCAAACAATCTGAAAAAATTAAATCGACACGGCCGATAAGATAAGAAGCAAAATAACAATGAAATAATAATAATTTAAAAAATTAGAAGAAAAATTAAATATATGATATCGAAACGCTTGGGCTTAGTTCTCAATATTCCTGGAAAATCGTGGAGTTACATTCTCGAAATTTAGCCGCAGTGTACAAAAATGAGAGACTGACTCATGCTGCGGTTGCTGAAACTGGACTTCAAAATTATGTCACGTGTGTGTGTTTGTTTTATATTTGGAGCCTTAACGATAACCAATGGTAGATAGGTTGCGCTCGCTAGTCCAACGGGAAGTGTGTAGGTCCTGAGAGAGCGAAGAGTCAGCGCTCACTCAACTAACTCACCACACCAGACTCTCTACACCAGACTGTTCTAGATATGTCTACAGATTCACGCAACGCCACCGTAAAAATGAACACCTCGAGGGGCTCCCAGAAGCGACCCAAAATAAGTTTTAACCCAGATGCTGATACACTTAAGCAACCCCCATCGGAAGAACGGGGGGGGGGGGGGGGGGGGGGGGGGGGGGGGGGGGGGGGGGGGGGGGGGGGGGGGGGGCTCGTGGCTCTAGGGAGGCTAGCGATTGGTTCGTGTTTACCTCGCGCGTGCACATTACGTGCCGCTGACATACCGTATAAATATGCAGGAACGATTATTTTTTCGGCAACGCGTGAGTTCATCTCTAGCTCGCTCATCGCGGAACAACTGGGAGTGAAGTGAAGTCCTCCTTTCAGGCCTTTCCCTTTACCTAGTTCTTTTCCCCTCCCACCCCGGTGTTGTTGTTTTTAATACAGTCGTCACCCCCTCCCACCTTGTTTCACGTGACTGACCGTTTGTCATGTCTGAACGACCGGAAGTTCCAGTGGGCTACTTGGGCAGCCAGCCGAAGTTCGCCGAGCTGAACCTGCAGACCATCACCCACGATAGTCCGGAGTTCTCGGTGGACAACAACGGGGAGCTGGAGATCAAGTTCAAGGCGCCCAAGGCCGTCAAGGTAAGAGTGAACTATTTATCCTGGTTAATTACTTTATTTAAAGCTGTGTTTGCATGTCCAGTTCTGCTTTCGATGATGTGACGTTGTAAGGTCTGCCAACCATTGAAATATTTCAGAAGAATAACATTTGTTTAGTAAAATTATTGATGGATCAAAAGATTATTTCAAAGCGGCCCGTTACTATACACAGTAAAATGTCGATATTACATTTTAAAGTAAGGAAAATACCACAGTTTTTTTTTTTTGTAAGGAATAGGTAGGCTGCAAAAAGCTCCAAGTAAACGCGTCTCTTTTAATTTCTCTACTATTTCGTTTTTAAAAACGTACACTACGATTTAAAATTTCTAAAAAAAACATACCCAGGTAATATTTTGTCACTTTATAGTGTGTTATAGGATACTTAATTTTTCATGGGTGATTTTTACAATCGGTCAATGTATTCATACAGGTAGGATGCTACAAACAGACCATTTTTTTTTCTTTGAGACGCACCTTTGGTTTCAATGCGATTTTTAAAAAAAAATCCGCTTTACGTAGTAGGTTTACGGTACATTAAAATGGGCATATGTCATGTTCCAATAATGTTGTAGCTTTTTTCGACATAAACACGTCTATCAAAATGTAACAACGCCTACAACTTTGCATCACGCTGAAGTAGGCCACACAGAAGTGAGATTTGTGGAGGGGGGTGGTCGAATCATAAGTTAAATGGTGTTGTTTTCCCCATTAAATTTGAAAATGTTTTATGAACAGAAAAAAAAAGAGTTGTAAAATACATTACCGAACATGGAACATCATATATGGTTTTAGTCATACTCTTGGGCCCACGGGCTTTCATTAGCGACCATGTTACATCATATATGTTTTTTTAGTCATACTCTTGGGCCCACGGGCTTTCATTAGCGACCATGTTACATCATTATATGGTTTTTAGTCATACTCTTGGGCCCACGGGCTTAAAAAAGCGCCTTAAAAAATGTAAGCTGGAAATAAAGGGGGGGGGGGGGGGAACTGGTTACAGAAATAAATGGAGAAAAAAAAGTTTATTGGTGTTTCAACTAATTCTCAATGACTGCCCGAACGGATGAAATAGACAAGGAATGAAGTACCGTTGAACAGACAGCCAGCCCCAGACACTAATAGATTTCCTCTACCTGTACTCGGTTCTCAAAGTGCGGGATTCCTTCCTTCGCTTCCAACCGGTGTTTGTGTTAATACGAATACCAACAGACGGGTGGGGGGGGGGGTGGGGGAAGGAGGGGGGATAAAAAAATGCTTCTAACTAACGAAGAAGGCACACAAAAAAAGAAAAGAAAAGCCATCTTTGTGAAATGAGCTCAGCTCAGGATAAGAAACATGAGAAATTTCCCTGAAGGCAGACGCAGAGAAAATAACAAACGCTATAGAGCAGGGGCGTCTATCACCACCACCCCCCCCCCCAATCCGAGGAGTGGAAGCGAAACTCGCCACATATCCCCTGGACCTTGTTCAATTCTGGCATTTCTGCGTGGTATTTAATTCGAGAGTTCACCATGAATATGAGTTATAACAAAAATGTAGAGTTTAAAAAATTTTTTAGAAAATTTAATCAAAACAAAATATCTAATTATTTTAATTAAAAATCTAAGAATTTGAGTAAGCATGTAATTTTTTATTTTTTGTTTAATTCTTATGCTACAATAATCAGTCTCCTAAGCGTAGCGTAATGCTCATGCGGTCATACTTCGTGTCTATCAAAATTTTGGATTAAGATTCAATCACGCAGCTAAGCCACTGTCTTTAAATGAGCATTTTTTTATATTTTCCTTGACCATATAAATGTTATCTGGAGAAATTAAAAACCCTAACTCAGACTGAAAGGAACTGCTTCATTGCCCCCCCCCCTGCCCCGTGGAGACGCCCCTACTTAAGGGAACACCCCCAAAACATTACAAGAGTCAAATAAAATGACATTGATTTATGTCATGCTTACCAAAGTGTACCTTATTTTTTTTGTTTTACGGGGTGATTGAAGCCACGCAAGCGATTCATATCGTGAATCAGGACGCGTGAATCTTTCTTGGAATACCAATAGACCTCTGTGTCAGCCCAAATTTACACCACGCGGTATTGTCACCCATTAAACGTGTATAGACAAATTTAAGAAATGGATTCGGTAGAAGTGAGACCTGACCCATAGAAGTAGAACTACACACATTGAAATAACGTAATTACAAAGAGTAAATAAGTACACTTTAAAAGGCAGTGACGCGTAAACTGCCAATGCACCACACAATCTTTAAAGAAGGGTTTTAACGGTATTTTCTTGCATACATTTTTGGGGTTACAAAATGAGGGATCCCTTCATCTAAAGTCACCCATCCCAAGGTTAATGTTGGCTGTAATGTGGCTTAGAGCAATCATTGAAAAATTAGCTTCATTTAACCACGATTGTATCTATCGCTACCCTTGTCTTGACCCTTATCGTCCTCAGGTGACGACCAACCTCATCAACACCAAGACGGACAAGGAAGTCTCCGAGTACGTCTTCACGCAAACCAAGGACAAGGAGCTTCACTTCGTCCTGGTCTTCCCGGAGGCGGCCTACTACAAGTTCCAGATCTTCGCCCTCGAGGCCTCGGACGAGAGCAAGTCGCTGCCCAACGTCTACAACTACCTGATCAACGTCAAGGACGCCATCAAGGCCGCGTACCCGTTCCCCAAGCAGTACGCCCAGTGGAAGGACGGCTGCTACCTCTACTCCCCGCTGGTGCTCAACGCCAAGACCAGCCTCGCCAAGGTCGAGTTCAAGGTCTACGTCCCCAACGCCAAGGCGCTGGCCATCGTCGCCGCCGGGGAGTGGTTCCACCTGACCAAGAAAGGGGAGAACTGGGAGGGCACCGCCGCCCTCAGCAAGCACCGGGGCAAGGACGTGAAAGTGACCCTGAACGCCAACTACGGCGGCGACGAGACAAAGTACGCCACGCTACTAGAGTACATCATCTAGTCTCGAAACCATCTCTCTACCAATCCTCCCATCATTTTTTTTCCGCCGAATCAGCAAGATATCTGAGATCAACAAGAAGCAAATGGGACTTTGTATATTACGTGCTCATTTAACACACACTTTGTTTTTGTGTATACGTTTTTTCTACTATTAAAAAAAAAACAGGAATCTGAGCCAGGAGCGATTGAATTGTATGGGGACTTGTATCATTTGTGATCTTGGACGGGCGTAGTCCTAATTTTGTTTTCGGTTTTTAATTATTTTTTTCTGTCTGGCCTGATTCTACGAAACCCGTGAGGTTCTTTTTCTTTTTTTTTTCAAGTGAGTATAAGACATTAAACCTTGTTTTTATTTTTTGTTTTTTTTTTCCCTTTGCTTTTCTAGTCTCGGCTTTGACGTTTGAACTAAATGGTAAAAAAAAAAAAAACAAAGTGGATACGAACACGTAACAGAGAGAAAGGATTTTTGTGAAACAGAAATTACGAAAAGTTGCCTTACTTTCATGTCAGTCTATTTTGTTGTCTTGCGTTAAAGAAAACTTGGACTGAGTGATAATGGGATGCTGTGCCTTTCTTTTTTTAAGTTATGATTGAATGACGTGTTATTTTGGCGCGGGGAGCTACACATCTTTTCGGATGTTTCCATGGTTGTGTGTTTGTTCTTTTGGTCAACTGCTGTGTTCAATATAATAATACTGTGCTGCTAGAAAAATAAATGTGCTTTACTCACTTTTCACACCCCTGTTTTCTTTTTTTTTTTTTTTTCTTCCTTTTTTCTTCCTTAATTTTTTCTTAGAAAACTTAGTCAACGGTTTGCTCAAAGTTCGTTTCTAATATATGCATATATTTCTTTTCCCTCGTATGTATGCATTTTGCAACATGTTCATATATCGACTGCAAGAGGTTGTGTACCCTCGAATAGTGACAGGCTAAGGACACGTTTATTTTGCTATTTCCTTGTCTATTAGTGCGCTGGCAGATATTTTTGTAAAAGAGAAATTTATCATCTCTCTAATAAGTGAAGAAATTGTCTTGGATTTCTTTCTTCTGCGATGTGAGGACGCATTCTACGAAAGTGATGATCAATCAGCATTGGGCCTGAAATTGGACCAGGCGGTTGAGATACAACAGTGTGTCCCACACACATTGCAAATTCAATGATCTTTACTTGCAGACGTTCTTTGAGGTTAATGACATTTACAAACGGACACGTCTTTGACCTCTCAGCATCGAGAGAATACTTTACCCGCGGAAGCTCAGCCTGTGCCCAAAATTGATGACGCCGGTGTCAATTTCTGATGAGGCTTGTGCCCAAACTTGATGATGCTGGTGTCCAATTCTTACAAGGCATGTGCCCACACGCGATGACGCTGGTGTTAAAGTCTTATGAGGCCTGTGCCCACCCTTGATGACGCTGGTGTTTAAGTCTAATGAGGCCTGTGCCCACACTTGATGACGCTGGTGTCCAAGTCTTATAAGGGCTGTGCCCACACTTGTTGACGCTGGTGTTCAAGTCTTATGAGGGCTGTGCCCACCCTTGATGACGCTGGTGTTTAAGTCTAATGAGGCCTGTGCCCACACTTGATGACACTGGTGTCCAAGTCTTATGAGGCCTGTGCCCACACTTGATGACACTGGTGTCCAAGTCTTATGAGGCCTGTGCCCACACTTGATGACGCTGGTGTCCAAGTCTTATGAGGCCTGTGCCCACACTTGATGACACTGGTGTCCAAGTCTTATGAGGCCTGTGCCCACACTTGATGACGCTGGTGTCCAAGTCTTATGAGGCCTGTGCCCACACTTGATGACGCTGGTGTCCAAGTCTTTTAAGGCCTTTGCCCACACTTGATGACACTGGTGTCCAAGTCTTTTAAGGCCTTTGCCCACACTTGATGACGCTGGTGTCCAAGTCTTTTAAGGCCTTTGCCCACACTTGATGACGTTGGTTTCTAAGTCTTATGAGGCCTGTGCCCACCCTTGATTACGCTGGTGTTTAAGTCTCATGGGGCCTGTGCCCACACTTGATGACGCTGGTATCCAAGTCTTATGAGGCCTGTGCCCACACTTGATGACGCTGGTGTCTAAGTCTCATGAGGCCTGTGCCCACACTTGATGACGCTGGTGTCCAAGTCTTATGAGGCCTGTGCCCACACTTGATTACGCTGGTGTCCAAGTCTTATGAGGCCTGTGCCCACACTTGATGACGCTGGTGTTTAAGTCTCATGAGGCCTGTGCCCACACTTGATGACGCTGGTGTCTAAGTCTTATGGGGCCTGTGCCCACACTTGATTACGCTGGTGTCCAAGTCTTATGAGGCCTGTGCCCACACTTTATGACACTGTTGTCCAAGTCTTATGAGGCCTGTGCCCACACTTGATTACGCTGGTGTCCAAGTCTTATGAGGCCTTTGCCCAAACTTGATGATGCTGGTATCCAAGTCTTATGAGGCCTGTGGCCCACACTTGATGACGCTGGTGTCCAAGTCTTATAAGGCCTGTGACCACACTTGATGACGCTGGTGTCCAAGTCTTATAAGGCCTGTGCCCACACTTGATGACGCTGGTGTTTAAGTCTTATAAGGCCTGTGCCCACACTTGATGACGCTGGTGTTTAAGTCTTATAAGGCCTGTGCCCACACTTGATGAGGCTGGTGTTTAAGTCTTTTGAGGCTTTTGCCCATACTTGATTACGCTGGTATCCAAGTATAAGAGACTCCCACCTACCCCCATTGATAAACACTGTGTCCAGCTGTTTTAATTTAAAGATAGGTGTGTCCAAGTCGACTAAGAATTGTGCCGAAAAGATAAAGACTTGTGCCTAGATTCAATAAGTCTGGGGATAATTTCCATTAATCCAGTAGCTAAAACTTTTTAGCCCCAGTACTACATTGTTTAAACTGAGCAGCTTAATTCTTTAACCCCTGTTACTTAATATCCATTGGTGCTTAAATTCCACGAGCATAGTGCCTAAAATCCATTAGCATTTTGCCTTAATTCTATAAGCCTTGTTTCTAAACATCAATTCGTGTTTAAATTCCACGAACATTAGTGAATAAATTCTTTGAGCTTACAGCTAACAAGTTTCCGCGCAAAGAGTTCATCAAACGGGTGGCTGTAAGAGTGCTCGCCCCCTGCTGAGACATGCTATTAATAATCCCACCCCCCCCCCTCCCTTTTTTTCCGGTCTTGGTGTTTCTCTACCTGTGTATTTGTCTTAGGCCCACAGGTGAGTCAATACACGGCTACGTTTTTCGGTAGCCAGTATTTGATTGAAATCCGGAGGGGGGTGGGAAAGTTTCCCTACACTAACTCCGGTAATAAAAAACAACATTTTTAAGAAAGCCAGACTACGGGAAAATGTGAGGCTGACAAAATGGTATCCTTATCACAAAGTTTGAGCTAGCAGTTGCCATAAAATTAATAATACTAATAAATACGCATTGGAATCAAGTCTTTCAAAATATCATAGTTAGGAAACTATGACGGCGGCACAGCATTGATTTGATCACAAGTTTGAGAGAAATATATCAAGAAGTTTATGCTACGGGCGTTTATGTGATTCTAATTAATAAAAAAAAAATTTAAAAAAAAAAAAAAAAAAAAATTAAAAAAAAAAAAAAAAACCAATTTGAATAGGAGATGACTTTCAATCCAAGAATGCTGAGTAGGCGTAGGGAGAAAAAAATGGATGAAATTTTAATGTTCGTCTAAGAGGTAAAACACAATTTAAATCTGTCAATCTTAAGTGGAGGACTGTCATAAATTTTTTGATATTTTTTTTTTAATGGATCTGATCAAAATAATTAAATTAAGTCATTTTGCACCAATTGATTATTGATATATANATATATATATATATATATATATATATATATATATTCATTCTTCGTATTATAATTCGTCAACAGCCAATTAATTGTAATTTTTTGTTCCTGTATTATTTGACCCCCATGTCAAACCCATCTCTGTTGCACACGTTCCCCTGATAACATGGTCTAGCTAGCTACAATACAGACAACAAACATGAAGCTACTTATTGGGCATGTTTTAATTGATCTGTTGGGTTGTTTTTTGTTGGGTTTTTTTTTTTTTTTTCTCCCGTGGTGCGGGGGGGGGGGTATTGATAAATAAGAGTTGAGGGCGTGAGGGCTGGCATTCTCTATTATCCCGAGTTATTTAAAAATAATTGCAAATCTTTTCTTAAAGATGGATAACTCTAAATCGACCATTCCTGCCCTGCTAGCCAAATCATCGAAACATTGAAAAAGAAAGGGAGGGGGGGGAAGGGGGGGGGGGTGTTGTTTAAATTGTTATAATTCATGGCGTAGGTAAATACTTTGTTGGCCTCACAAGCATCAGCACTTCTCCAGCCAACTTCTCAAATTTGGTGCATTTTACTTTTCTCTTTCTTCTCTCTCTCTCTCATACTCTATCTCCCTTTATCGTTCTCTACGCCCTCTCCCCCTCCCCCACCCTCTCGCCCCCTCTCCCTCACTCGTTTTCATACCTTCGCGTTCGTCCAGTTTTTATAACTCTCTTACATTCCTAAACCGACAATCTATTTATAGCTGGTGCCGGCTGCCGCTATACGCCAGACTGGGGAATGCTTCTAGTTTCTCTCACCCATTCCCTCTCTCCATCTCACGCTCTCTTAATCTATCTCACTCTATTTTTAGTCTCGCTCTCTCTTCCTCTCTGTTGATGCCTTTTTACTCTCTCTATTTCTTTCTCTTCGTCTCTGCTGTTTTCTCTCTCTCTTTCTTTCTCTTCGTCTCTGTTGATATCTCTCTCTCCCTCTCTCTCCCCCCTCTCTCTCTCTCTTCTCTGTCTTCTGCTCTTTATCTCGCTGGGTTTCTCTCCTCCTATCACTCTCCACCTCATTTTCTCTTTTTGAAAAAAAAATAATAAAATCTTGCCTTTGACTCTTCCTTCCTGTACGTTTATTTTTTTTCCTCTTCACGTTTCTGTTATTTCCTTCTCGTTGCTTACTGGGCACTGCATCAAACTCATCCTGTGAGCATCGCTTTACAGCAAGGGTCTAGGTGTCTTCCAGTGGAAAAGTGGGCGTATCTCTTTTGTTTCTTCCTAACAGTGTGGTGGTTGCTTAAAAACAACTACTACTAATAATAAAAACCACAACAAAGGAAACAAGAACTCGTTGCATTGCAGAGCAAAAGAAAATTAGCTGACTGGTAGGGATTTGTTTGACTGATCCCCGACCGACGTGAGGCAGTAGGGTCAGAGGCGTAACGTTTAAATGGGGGGGGGGCGCCCTAGGATGAATCAATACTACAAGGTGGCACCCTCTCATGTTATGCCATGCTCCAGATGTACACGTTGTGTCAACGTTTGTTTGTTTGGTTTCCTATCTCGGTCTCGGGGCACCGAAGACTTCTTTCTTCTGGCCGCCATCAATCCCGGCACGTGCAATCGATATGATACTGAATAGTTAAACAAATAAAATTTAAAATAAAAAAATAACCAAATAACTCAGAAGTCTTAATTACTAGAGCGGTTATTAACCCAATTTAATACATTAACCGAGTTATTACTTGGGAAAACTCTCATCACCGTCGCCGCTTTAAACAGCTGTTCGCGACTTGTGAGTAAAACGTCATTGATAATTGTGCAGCTCTATTCCTCGCGATATGTCTTAATAAACATTTTTTTTTTCGGAATATGTTTATTTCTTGTGTTTTTTTGTTTTGTTTTTTGAGGCATAAAGTGGTACCG